AAAAACTATGGTTGTTTTTGGTTTAACTGGTTCCTCATTTTTTGCCTTAGAGTTGAGTAAACGTAATCTTTCATGCCCCTCGGCCTTTTCTTTCAACCAGTTGTTAAAGTCTAAGAGTGTTGGTCGCTGCCAATTATGTCTAACAGTATGCATTGACCAAGCCTCCTTGAAGTTAGGCGGAAGTTTACTAACAGCTTGGTTTAACAGGTTAACACTCTTTAGATCATCGTTGAAAGAAAACGATTTGAAAACTGCTACGAGGCCAGATATGGCAGAGGAGAAACTAATGACATTTTCCGAATTGTGCATCTTAAGTGGAGGAAAAGTATTCAGCTTATCAAGATGCGCACCAACAATGGCATGTGGTTGCCCAAACTTCCGTTGCAAGGTGGCCAGTGCATCCATGTACATAACGCCACTATAACTAAACTCCGCAATTGCGGTTTTTGCTTTGCCTGTGACGAGCGTTTTTAAGTATATCAGTTTCGTATCATCGGTGAGAACAGCGGAATCAACGGTGGACTTAAACTGACCAAACCATTCGTGCCAGCTTAACGGGTTGCCGTCAAACTGGGCTAACTTCCATTCAGGAAGATCATCACTGCGGCTATGCATCAATAGTTCCGCCAATTCACGAGCGGAGAGAGGTCGATCCGATGAACAACCTTGGTTCGGATAAGCGGAAGACGGTGCGTAGTCTTCGTTGACTGGCTGATAACCAGTATTAGTATGATTGACAAAATGCGGAACATCTTGTGGATGAACTGGGGGAGTATTAAAATACACAGTCCCACCACTAGTATACGGAGCGGCGGTGTTAAACGATGGGACAACAGTTGTCACATTAGAAAAAATGTTTCCAGCATTACAACACTGAGCAGGCGTGACGATTGGATTTGTAGCTGCCAATCGCCATAAGTTTGCATCACTTGTGTAGTAATCGTTGATATTAGGTGACACAGTATGCGGAACAAAGGGAAGATTATGTTGCGTCTGGACTGGCGCTGCATGGCAATTAGGTGCCGAAAAGAAAATCGGCGTTGGGTTTACTTCAAAGATGAGAAGCCACCACCAGCAAATGCAGGTGACAAAGAAACAAAAGCAGATCCGGGTTGTGCCGGTAACATTGGGACAGGTAATGATTCAGGTTGCGCGCTGGCAAAACTACCATTAGTTATGTTTGAACTCATGGTCTGTAAAGGAACAGCAGACGGTGGTGGTAACACGTGTGCACTAGAATGCAAATTGTTAACTGGGAATAGACCAGGAGCTTGCCTTGGCAAAAGGTTTGCACTGCCAAATTGAGGCATAGCCCGATGTCCATTATTATGGATTCCAGGGTCACTCAATGCTGTGTGCTCATGGTTATGACTATTACTGGTGTGAATTGCATGAGCGAGGATGGCGGAAGTCGTCGGTCCTGACGGAATGGGTTCAGGAGTGAAGGCCAGCAAACCTGGCGCACTAACAACGTCAGGAGGTGCCTGTGAACTAACAGAGTCTACCCAATCATTAGTTCGATCGGTTGCTACTTTTGAAATAGGTTGACTTACTCCTGTCGAGTTACTTTCCGCTACCTTCTCGCTAACCTCAGATGAAATGTCCTCAAGTTCGAACGCTTTCAGTTCCATTTCAATTAGTTGCTTTTTATGACTTTCAGCCAATTGCTCTAGTTACAGCTGACTCTGTTCGAACTTAAGACGGTTCTCTTGCTCTTTAAGTCTTAAAGATACTTGATACTGCCTTTCCAGCTCCTCATGGCGTCGTTTTACTAAAGCTAACTCATGCCGTTTCTCACTTGATGACATAGTGCGAACAGTCGACGTATGACGAGTGGAAGCAGATTTATCCGACTTATGTGAGTCAAGCTTTCTACTATCCTACTCGTGCTTCTGAATCTTTTGTTTTGTGCGAGCGTGAGGATGTCTCAGACCTAATTTGTTGTAAAGATCCCGTGCTCCTTGTAATGCCGGTTGCTGGAAATGACGAAGGTTCAAGGCTCATCTTGTAACTCTGAGCTTCATGCATTAATTTATCGTTCATTTCGGTTACTTTCTTAAGCCAAAGATCTTGCTGAGCAATAATTTTTCAGGGTTTTCCGTTTTTTCCGCTAACCTAATTAATTGCTCATTGACGTCGACAGCTTTTTCCAACGCAATTTTACATTTGTAAACAGCATTATCAATTTTTGTAGTGCGACTATTATTCTCAATGTACTCAAGTAATAATGAGTGACCTTTAAGCAGCGCATTTTCTAGATTTACACGGGTTTCGAATAACTTGCGTATCTTACTTTGGAATTTTTCGTCCATGTTTTTCACAAATTGACAATTTTCTACGGATGCTCACCTATAGAAAACGATCAATAAAATGAGATACTGTTTTGGTACGTAATTAAATTTGCATTAGTAAATCAACATTAGCTGACAAGACGGGGGAACTTGACGTCTCAAAGTTTCTGCCTGAAGCCTATTTCTTTTAGCTTTCCGAGCTTTGAGGGGTAAGCGGTTACGCTTGTTACGTGTCTTAGGGATGTTAAGATTAGCGCTATAACGCCTTAGAAGGAGGAGAGTCTTTAACTCAAGGGAAGGAGGCTGGTGAAGTTCTTTGTACTTCTCAATTAGTACCTGGTTCTTAGCCTTAAGCTTAGAGATAAAGTCTTTAACGACGTTCAGAGCGAGAATACCTGTTGAACCTAAACTTTCCTCTGTATCCTCGGTTCCGTTCCGTCTACAGCATACGATCGCACAAATGTTTGTCCTATACCTTAATAATAAATTGACAAATTGCTCACTACTCAGCTTGCGGTTATTGTTGCTGCGGTGCCTCCTTATCGAGTTATTAATGGCGTCGTGCCAAATTACAAGGTCGTAACGGTGCGACAAGTAGTGATGAAGGTAGTACTGTATTGTTTTCTGAGAGTCCCTAGCGTTTAAGTTCAAACTTAAACTTGGCTTTGTAAAGCAAGCATCTTTGACGCGCTTCTGGGACGGAGCAGGAAGTTTTCGGAGCGCGTGATCCAAAGAACTAGCTCCTAGAATGAATACCATACACTTAGGGGACCTATGCGACGGCTTCGTTACGCTCAAGTACCAATGGGGTTGGAAATATAAGTAGGTCGGTTGAACTCCAATAACACACAGAGAGTAAACCTGAGGATGAAAGAATTCAACTTAACTCACTTAATATCACCGTACCTGACCACTTAACTTTACTGTCACGCAACGAAGTCAAAAATCGGACGGGCTGAAACGGCTTTGTTTTATTTGAAGCGAACTGGCTTTCAGTATCACCAATGGTGGGTGGGGGATCAGGCAAATTGGTTAATTTCCAACAACACACGCGGAAGAAACCTGAGGATGAAAAACTCAACCTAATTTGCCTGATATTTCGCTACCAGACCACTCAACATAAGGTTGGTGTCATCTTAAAGCACAGTTTCGCAGAATTCTGGAGACGTTTTGACGATTTTTTTGGCAATTTTTTTTTACTTTTTTCACAAAGTTTTGGTCAGCAGGTTCGAGTCATAAACCAATCCAAAAAACTAGTCCAGTATCTCTTGTCTATTTTCCGATTTCACGGATTAATATTCCGTTCACATATATCCAAAAATTTTTGGTATCAAGAAAAAAGGTCAAGTCTTGTCTATGTACCGACTGTAAGATATTTCAGTTCAACGGAACTGTCCAAAAATTTTGGGTATTGAGAAAAATTACCGGGGGCTAGCTTGCGGAAAAATTTCTAGCATATATGACATCTCAAATCAGTTTTATAGCACAATTTGAAAGTTTTAAACTAGTCGAGTCTTACAGTTTTAATTGGAGATTGGCGACACCGTGAAAAAACCAAAACTTCGGGTGTCGAGAAAAACACAGCTCCACTTTGCCCAAAAGTCAACAATCAGGACACCTAAAAAGACCTCTCTTCTGCCAGTCTGCTCTTTCGCCTGCCTGCTATATCGTCTGTCGGCCCTTTTGGCCAATCGCCCACTTTCGTCAAGTAAACTGTGTGAAGAGTTTCGGCCAATTCGGTACTCTGACGACTTTCGGCTAAACCGCACAATCTGACGATTTTCGGCCAGCTGAACAATTTAACAGCTTTCGTCCAAATGCCCACTTTCGGCTAATTAGACACTTTTCGGCCAAACGCACACTTTCGGCCAATTAGAAACTTTTCGGCCAACCGCTCGCTTTCGGCCAATTAGACACTTTTCGGCCAAACGCCCACTTTGACGACTGTCGGTCAACTGAGCACTGTAGTGACTTTCGGCTATTTGGACACTCGTGTCAGTGAAACTGTCCGAGGGAGTGCAGCTGCTATGTAACCCTGTCCGAGAAACTCTCGAGGTGAACTATCAACGTGGTCCCTTGTCGTTGAAAGAATTCGTTTTGTCTCTTGTTAATCTTTTGTGAATAACGGTCCCTTGTGACGCAATACTGAACGCGTGGTACTATCGTGTCCCTTGTGGGGCGCCAAAATGTGCTCGCTAAATCTCCGTAGAATGAAGTTAAAACCGAAAAATCAATAATGAATTCGTCTTCTCGGCAATACAGAATTTATCGGCTATATTGATAATTTTCATTCAAGTTTTTGCTGTTAAACAAGTTCATAATTTTTTCCAATATTCAGCTCCAATAAACAAATTGGCGCAAGCTAGCCACAAGTACCGGTCGCTAATGTCCTTGAGACAAATTGCTCTTTTTGGCGGTCAGCCTTAATCAAGGCTGAACCGAATTAGAACCAAAAACGGTCAAAATAGGATATGACCCCCGTTTTTAGTATATTAATACATGGGCAGGTGGGGGACTCGAACCTATGTCAACTGTTATGTCACACATATAATCGGCGTTAGCTTAGGCCACTCGAACAACTGTGCTTATTTTATATGCATGTATACTCTACGTTTGCATTGCAACATCCGTCTTTTTATTTTTCTCGGCTTAGTTCTCGTAGCACGGACTTTTTTTGAAACTTCAGCGTTCTGCTACATTTGAAAATGGAAGAAGAACAAGTCACAACTCCCCCCGCCCACCACTGCCAACTCACAGCCCAAGAAACAACAACAACAGCAAATGAATGGTACAAATTCTGCGATGAAAGCTCACGCTTGCTTCCAATTTCTTCTGCATAATTCTGTGTAGTTTTTAATGAAGCCAGTTTTGTTTTAATTCTGCTGATTTCTTCGATAAGACCAAACTCACGAAAGCTAACTAACTTTTCCTATTTTAATCGGAGCCTGGGGTAGTTTTAAATGACGAAATTGAAATTGAGCTGCCTTTTTTTCAGGTACTGCAACAAGTGCGAAGAAGAATAAAGACAAGCGAGCTTCGGAGCCGCCAGCTGCCCAGCCGACGAAAGGGACAACAGACTCGAAGATAAAAGAGAACACACTGGTTTTCAACTCAGAAAGCACATCAGCTTCGGGAAAGAAATGTAAGCTAGAAGTATAGCGTAGTCTCTCCTCTGTTGCAAGTGAAATGTTTACACAAGCGAGAGTTACAAGCTGCTCGCTAGTGGCTAATTACACTAGCGTTCAGATTAGTCTATTATTGCGAACCTTGTTTTTTTCTAACCTAACTCGCAAAATAAAGTGTTCATCAAAAATGTTCACTTATTTGGAGATTGAACTGTAGCATTAGAAATTGCATAGCAGCTGTTCTCTGCTTTATTTTTGGCTAGTGTTTTGCAGATATTAAACGTCCGTAGCTGAGAGATTAGTGCGCGAGACTCATATTCTCTTTGTCGCAGGTTCGAATCTCGGACGTAGCCGAATTTTTACTAATTCGAGGCTTATTTTAACTTTTTTTTAATTAGAGCTCCTTTGGAGCTTGTGTTCTCGGTAGTATGCCATGTTGGTTTCGAGAAAAAAATATTTCAGGTTTAAAAAGAATGGAGCATTCTTGCTAATTGAAACAACAATGTCTTTACGAAACATAGCAACCAAATTTTACGACTTAAATCTGTTAAAAACGAGGGAAATCAATGATATCGATTGCATCAATGAATTCGATCGCTTACATTAAGTTTCGGTTATTAGCATTTTGTTTGGTTTGTGGAGACTTTAAATGACTCAGAAGTGAAGAGATTTTCATAAAAATTGACCGGTTTTTGGCTTTAAGTCATCCAGTTTGACCTCTCAAGCTTTTTAGGGTGGGTTTCTGCTTAATTTTGGGTGCTTCAAAAAAGTTCATAGAGGAACAAGTTTGGTATCATTTTAAAGCATTGTTAACTGTGAGTGATTCGGATTCCAAAAGAAATGAAAAGTTGTCTGGGTCGAGAAAATTGTTTTAACGTTTTTGAGTCTAATCTACACTAAAGAATGAGAGGGAATGAATTTCCTATCCAATTCTACTAAGCTATTTTGAGGTTATTTTTGCTATAATTACCTCATTCTTGCAGAATATTATCTAATTAGACTCCTCCCACTGCCCAGAAAAAAATTTGTTTTTATAAATTTTTTCGTTTGTTTTATATTGCTTTTCTTGCATAAAGGTGGTCGAAACATTCAGTGCTACTTGTCCAGCCACCGACTATCTATTCGTGGATCTAGGATTTAAAGATTCAAAAAATTAAAACGATTGTTTTTTGTTCGACCAAATTTATTGTGCGAGCCCCCTGAAAAACCATACTCTGTAAAAAAATTTGCCTCTATTGGGCGCGCGCTCCGCTGTAAGTTGGTTTTTTAGTAGCGCCTTAGGCATCTTTTAAAAAATTTGGGTCAAAAATGGATGCTGTAAAATTGTATCAAAGGGTAGACCCCTCTCCTAAAACCGCTACTGATTTTATCCATGTTCCTCTTTGACTTTGTTTCGAAGTTCAAAAATGGTTTGTTTTAAAAATCAGTTTTGTCGAAAATATCATTAAAAAATCCTGAGCTTCAATCAGTTCTAAGACTAATTGATGGTTCGAAATTTCATTTGTAAACAGAAATTGTTTTGCTGGGTGTTGCAACCGTTGCTAGACTTTCATCGAGAACAACTTCGTTTACAGAATGTCCAATTTACTAGAAATGGTTAATTTCTCGTGCAGAATGCTGACATGCTCATTTTCTTGGAAAATTTATATCAATTTATAATTCTTTATATAATATAGTTTTTAGGTGGTTTCGTTCCTGTTTCGTTTCAAGCAGTCGTAATTTTAAAGAAACATTCTTATTTTTAAGAAACTCTTATATAAGTCGCGATGATTTTTTTTTGTTTTTTTTTCCAGGATATGGCTCAAATCAATTTTTCGTGGTATGACTTTTGATTCCATTTTAAGTGCAGTTCATTTTCTTTGTCAAAGGAAGGCAAACTCCACTATCGAACAGCAAAATTATAAAGGTCACGAAAAACGTGATCGACTTCTAATTTCGAAAATAGAAATTAATTATCAGATTTCCTAGCGAAATAAAAGATTTACCTATTGATCCAGCTTTCTGGTTAATTTTAACAGAAAATTCCAATCATAAAATAATCTAGAAATTCATAGATCCTTACGTTAATCTATTTCTTTCTCTGAAATTCGAAAGTTGAAGTTTTTTCGAAGAACAAGTCGGCCTTTTTTTTCTGTTTAATTGGGTTCATTGACTTATGCAACTGTCTGTTGGCTATGTTTTAATCGGCTTTCATCCTAATTTCGGTCGGTGCATTGTCCATTTTTCAAAAATGCAGTTTGTATCACTTGAGTTTTTATTGGATTACTTTCCAATGCATTGGTTTTATTTAAATTTAAACAGTTATTCACTCATTGAAAATTCTACAATTTGTAAATTTACTAAGACTTAATTAGTGTTTTTCGTTTAAACAGTTTTGGTGACTGATATATCGGCTTAGTCAACTTATATTGTATAGTTTTGAAGGCAAAAAAATATCTTAATGCGTTTTTTTTTTGTATTACGAATTGGTGGTACAAACTTTGAAGCTTAAAAAAACGCATTATCGCATTAGTTACTACTCAGCAAAGGATTTCTAATGATTTATATGGCTGTTTGTGATTATCATCTAATACAATCATGAACTTTTCAACGTAAATGTTCTCTTTTTCTACTCATTAGCTTGTAACGCAATGTTTTTGTTGTATCGCAAGTCTTTCGAGCATCCACTTTGCCTCTGTGAATAACCTACTGCTGTTTTACCTACTGCTACTCAGTAACTACTGATTAAACATGTGAAGCTCAGTATGATAGTACGGTTCAACTTTTGTTTCCAACCTAAGTCTAAATTAAAAGGCTACTTTTGATGCCACTTTTGAATCAGAGGGCTGCATTGGAACAGTAATACCGTGTTTTGACATTTGAGTTGTGATAAATTAGTACAGTTGATGCTTTTTTAGTTCATCAATTGAGGCGAAAAAAGCTATTTAAGAGTCGTTGAACGTAGTGAAGACTCTTATATAGGTCTTGGTGATTTTTTTGTCTTTTTTTCAGGAAAAAGTTGAAAATGCTCTAATAGCTACATATATGCATTCATACTTGCATATGCATTTATGATTGCACTTAGATATATGCGATCTTTTTTAAGAGTAATGAACGCAGTGAGTACTCTTATATCGGTCTTTTGTTTTTTTTCCAGAAAAAAGTCTTGAAGTTTGTTCACGCTGAAATTCAATTTTTCGTGGTTTGACTTTTGTTTCTGTTTGAAGTTCAGTTCATTTTCTTTGTTAAAAGGAAGGCAAACTCCATTATCGAACAGAAAAAATGTAAATTTCACGAAAAACGTGATCGACTTCTAATTTCGAAAATGGATTTTAATTATCAGATTTCCCAGCGAAATAAAAAATATACTAATTGATCAAGTTTTCTCAGATTGGGTTAAATTTATCGAAAAAGTGACAATCTGAAATTGTTCCAGTAACCCAAAGAGCTTCAAGGCCGTCTTTGTTTGTCTCTGAAATTCAAAAGGTGAGATTTTTTTCTGGTTTTATTGCGTTCATTGAATGTTTTTCAGCTGTCTGTTGGCTATGTTTTATCTGAAATTAGATCGTTGAAGTTTTCTCATAAATAAGTCATTTTTTTAACTGTTTTCTCGTGTTCGTTGATTTTTTTCCAACTGTCTGTTGGCGATGTTTCTTTGATACAACGGTAGGATAATGATTCTTTCAGGAATTTTTCAACTCAGTATGTTTCGCGAAATTTTTGAAATGCATAATTCATACAAATGGTCGCCCGTAGTGTGTAAAACTCCAAACTAGTACAATCAAGTTTGTGTTTTTGTGCTTTTTGAAGCTTCTGAATCTATTGCCACTTTCTCCACTTTCTGTTGTTTGTAACGCTGCAGGTTTGTCTCTGTGCTGATGCTTTTTTTAGTATTTCAACAGTAACATTTTGTGGTTGGTGATCTTTTTCCTTAATGGTTGCAGACTTAAGCGCTATCGGCTTAGTTTTCAATTTATTTAGGTATGTGTTGTTATGCAGTAGCATATTAAGCAATATTTCAAGCTTTTTTAAAGAATCATTGAACTAGTGAAGAATCTTATATAGGCATTAGTGTTTTTTTTTCAGGAAAATCTTAGTTTGTTAACGCTAAAATTAGATTTTTCTGCGGTTTGACATTTGATTTATTGTGAAGTTCATGATCTCCTTGGTTGAAAGAAAGACAAACTGCAGTATCGAACAGCAAATTCGTCAGCGTTATGGGAATCGTGATCGACTTCAAAAATGGTTTTTAATTTTCTGAATTCCCAGCGGAATAAAAAAAACCGAATGATCCATTTTCCTCTAAATGGGATAACTCTACGAAAAAAGTGCCACTCATAAACTGTGTTTGAAATCGGAAAAAAGTAAAAAAAGTTTTTTTTTATGTTTTCAATCATTTTTTTTTTGGTTTTTCTTGTTAGTCTATCCTCTTCCAACTGTCTGCTGGAAGTTTTTTTATTTCGTTCGTCTTTTTGAGATTCGTTTTCGATTTGATTTTTCTCGGTTTTTTGGTTATTCTGCTATAAATATATCAGCTAAGTTCCCTCATAAATAAAAACTTCTCTGGACCACTTATTCTAGCAATAAAGGTTTTGCCTGTGTCGACAAATCTGGCCTGGACCGGTTTGTTAGTTATCTGAAAAAAAATTCATTGAAAAAAATGTTCGACTATAGTTTATCGGCTGTTGTCACAGCATAGATTGTTTTGAGTTGATTAATTTTCAGTATTTACAGCCTTTTGTTCTATTCCTATAATTACTAATTTTAACATCCATGATTTTGTTTATATTGTTTGATTGGATAGTATCTTTTTGGTTATTTTGTGCTTCCCGAGAGCGGATGGATTTCAACTTTAAAAAATTTATCGGCCAACTGGCGTCTACCCAAGTATTTGTGGCTTTGCTGCCACTAATTTTTTTTTTCGGTTTAATCGCGTTCATCGAATGTTTTCCAATTGTCTGTTGGCTATGTTTTATTTTGAAATTAGACCGCTCAAAAATAGATAATGTTTTGTGTTTTCTGGTGTTCATTGACTTTTTCCAAGCGTCTGTTGGCAATGTTTGTTTGATACAACAGTAAAACAAACAATTTCCTTTCAGAAAATTTACAACTCAGTATAATTTGCGAAAGGTTTGAAATGCATAACTCATACGAATGGTTGTTGTATCAAACATACTTATATACCTTCATAAAAAGTGTTTGAAATCATCAACGAGTATAAACAGTGTTTAAGAGTGGTTGATGATGCCACTCATAAACAGTGTTTGAAATCAAAAAAACTTAGAAAAGGTTTATTTGTTTTCAATCAACTTTTCTTTTGTTTTTTTTTGTTCGTCTACCCTCTTCAAACTGTCTGCTGGATATTTTTTATTTCCTTTGTGTTCTTCAGATTTATTTTCGATTTGATTTTTCGGCTCTTTGGTTATTCTGCTATAAATATGTCGGCTAAGTTCCCTTATAAATCGTAACTTCTGTGGACCACTTAGCCGAACAATAGTTTCTATGCCTGGGACGACAAACGTCCTGAGTTCGAATCTGGCCTGGTTCTGTTAGTTTGTTATCTGAAAAAATTCACCTTGAAAAATGTCTGAATATCGTTTGTTGGCGTAGTTGCCACAGCACAGACTGTTTTGAGTTGATAATAGCTATATTTACAGCTTTTTGTGTTGTTCCTATAATTACTAAGTTTAACATCCATGCTTTTGTTTATATTGATTGACAGATATCTTTTTGGTTATTTTGTGATTCCCGAAAGTGGATGGATTTCAACTTTGAAAATTTTATTGGACAACTGGCGTCTACTCAAGTATTTGTGGCTTTATTGCCACTAATTTTTTCGTTCGGTTTAATTGCGTTCATTGAACGTTTTCCAATTGTCTGATAGCTATATTTTACTTCGAAATTAGAGTGTTGCAGTTTTCTCAAAAAAGTCATTTTTTTTCTGTTTTCTCGTGTTCTTTGACTTTTTTCCAAATGTCTGTCGGCAATGTTTGTTAGATACAACAGTAAAGTAACGACAATTCTTTTTGAGAAATTTTTCAACCCAGTATATTTTGCGAAATGTTTGAAATGCATAACTCATACTAATGGTCGCCTTCTTACCAAATTATTACGTGCAAGGTTGTGTTTTTGCGCTTCTTGAAGCTTCTGAATCTTTTGCCTTTTTTCGCTGGTGTTAGCAAAGCTGCAGGTTTGTCTCTGCAATCGCTTTTTTTTAGTATTTCAATTTTAATATTTTGTGGTTGATGATTTTTCTCCTTTATGGTTGCAGACTTAAGCACTCTCAGCTTAGTTTTCGATTTGTCCCTTTGATTCATGTAAGCACGTGTTTTGTTATGCAATAGCGTATTAAGCAACTTTTCAAGTTGTTTAAAGAGTCAATGAACGTAGTGAAGACTCGTATATAGGCGTTAGTGATTTGTTTTTTTTTTATTTCGGTATGGTTTTGTTTTATTTTAAAGTTCATGATCTCCTTGGTTAAAAGGAAGACGAACTGCAGTATCGAACAGCAAATTTGTTAGCGTCATTGGAATCGTGATCGACTTCAAAAATGGTTTTTATTTTTCTGAATTCCCAGCGGAATAAAAAAAACCGAATGATCCAGTTTTTTCTATATGTGATAACTCTACGAAAAAAGTGTTTGAAATTCAAATATCTAATGCGTGAATTTTTCGAAAGTTGAAAATTGTTTATACGTTTTCAATCAACTTTTTCTGCGGTTTTTTGCTGTTCGTCTACGCTCTTCAACTGTCTGCTGGATATTTTTTATTCTTTTCGTCTTTTTCAGATTCATTTTCGATTTGACTTTTCGGCTTTTTGATTATTTTGCTATGAATATGTCGGCTGAGTTCCGTCATAAATCATAACTTAGGTGGACCACTTAGCCTAACAATAAAGTCTAGGCCTGGGACGACAAACGAATGTGCCCTGGACCTGTTTGTTTGTTATCTGAAAAGTTTCTTATTGAAAAAAATGTCTGACTATAGTTTGTTGGCTTAGTTGCCACAGCACAGACTGTTTTGAGTTGATAATAGCTATTTACAGCCTTTTGTTTTGTTCGTATAATTACCTAGTTTAACATCCATAATTTTGTTTACTTTGTTTGAACATAAATCTTTTTGGTTATCTTGTGCTTCTCGAGAGCGGATGGATTTAACTTTGAAAAATTTATGGGCCAACTGGCGTCTACCCAAGTATTTTTGGCTTTGTTGCCACTAATTTTGTCTGATGATATTTGAACGCTGACGATTAGCTTATTTTCCAGGAAAATTATCTTGTAAATCGTGCAGCCATAATTTCAAAAACATGCAGAGCAAGCATCAGAGTTATCAGTATCTATCACGCTACAGCAGTAATGTTATAAAAGTAGATTCGTTATACTTTCGTTCATTATATAAAGTAAAGTATGAAATGCTTGCTAATAGGGGTCAAAGAGTGTGCCAAGCTTGGGAGGAGAGCACATGAAGCTGACTTCGAGATAGAAGGAGAGACGATGTTCGGGCTGAGTCACATGGGACCGGCCAGGGCAAGACAGAGACGGCGAACTGTAAGAAGAAGCAATTGTATTTTTATTATGGAAGATTTGACGTGAATGAATCTGTTCCTGTTTTGGACAGGCTCTGAAAAAAATTCTTTAAAAAATGCATCTGGAGTTGAAGTAATCAATTTCATGTTTCCAGGGTGAAGACCTGTTGCGCTTCTGTGTCTTCCACTGTGCGGAAAAGTTTGATCATCGAAGTGATAGAGCGGGGATCGAAGTGATATGGAGACTCGTCAAAAATGCTGGTGGAATCTACGTACACAACCGCGAAAACTTTAAAATGGTTGATCATTGGTTATCTTTTCATTATCGGTAAAATGTTAAGTTAGGCTTGATTCTCATACACAGGTTATTTCATCTGGCTTGTGCAATGCACTGCTTAATCTGGCTTGTGCAATGCACTGCTTAATCTGGCTTGTGCAATGCAATGCAACTATAAATTTCCTTAATGGAAACGCAATTCGCATGGTAACACTTAAATGGTCAATTAACAAAATAAAAACTACTCAGTTACACAAACGAAACGTAGTGAATTTTTACGAATAATTTTTTTAACCTAAGTTGCAAATACAAGTGCTCATATGGTGGCAATTTCAGTATATTTCAATTTTAAAATATTTAGGCTTATTTAAGCATAAATTTAATGGCATAAGTTGCTGCTTTGTTTTTGGTTAGTTTTAGGTCCTATTTGAAAAAGAAAACATGTATTATGAAAATGTACGCTTTTTTGCACTTTTCGCAGAGGTTTCAATTTTTCTCAAAAACTACCCAGCCAATTTTCAAAAAAAAAATGGAGTCAATGGAAAAACCGGCTGTTCTTCTATGTGCCTGTATATTTAGATTGTCTCTTTTCATTTTACCTCACGTTCTACGGCCTTCGAAAGTTTCAGAAGTTAGATTTTAGTGGTACTTTTTTTTGAATTTTTTCATGTTCTCAAATGTTAAATGCACAAATCAGAGAAGAAGGTCTCAGTCGAAAGAAAAAAATATGGGATATCCCCTTCTCAAGTGGCTGTTACCTAAATTTGGTAGAAAAAGTTATGGCCTCAAACAAGCCCGTTTTTTTGACATTTTGCTTAATTTTTAAAACTTTTTGACTTTTCTCAAAAACTGCTCTGCCAAATTGGAGATTAAGGTCTGAACGGAGACAGAAAATCAGTTATGCGACATATACCTGCGGAAGCGCCTATGCCCTGCCTTTTGAAACAAAAATTATGGCCTTTGAAAATGTCCAATTTTCCCGTTTTGTGGAAAGTTACTCATTTCTTTTCAAAAACTAATGGAACCTGATCTGAACTACATTTTATTATTTCATATAAATTAGATATTTTACCACTGTAAAATATTTAATATTAACCAATCATAATCCATCTAACTAACAACCCACTTATTTGTAAGTGCTGAAATTACTTGTAATGTCAGCACCAGAGAGATTTGAATTTAACTTAGAAATTAGTTACCTCTCCTCGAGAACTTCAGTAGCCGATATAAAACCAGTATACTCTAGATCTATTGAGCCTAGCAGAGACTAGTAGATATAAGAGTAAGATTAGGATCGGTAATAGACTAAGAAGTTGCACGAATCTATCCGGCCGAAAATAAGATAGCGTGACGAACAGACGGTGTATCCTATCCGAAATTACTCTATGAGTTAACCAACTCGGTTATAACTCATCTGGTGCGACCATTAGTCTCGAACAAGACCTTAATAGCTTAGAATTAACCAAAAATAGATGAGAAATAGACAAAACATTTCCAAAATGTTACACGACAATAATTTAATTGAATGGTCTCTACGACTCAATAGATCAGAGCCGCTATTCCGTACAATACGAGAACTACCCGGTATTGGAAAAAGATCTCGGACAAGAGACGACATACGACTACATAGAAACTTGCCATTTAGTTTCATGGTCGTACGGCAAAAGCCAACAAAAACTTTTATATTTAGAGTTTTACTAGCAATGAATTTAGATTTTCATTTGCAAACATAAAAATTCTTGAAGAAAATTTTCAATGAATATTGCAGGCGCTAATTAAAGTTATTATTGTTCAATAACGATTGATAAAAACATCCCAAATCGTTCCCTTCAATTCTGCAGTACTATATAAAAATATTTGATAAAAATAATTTATTGAAAATAAAAAACAAAAATTAGTAGCATTACAATAAAATTGTTAGTAAATATAAATCATCTTGTTGTTCCAGCTTCATCACCTTAACATAACAGCAATCAGCAATCATAAATAAACTAATATCATCAATACTAAAACTTCATTAATTTTAAACATTTCACAAAAGTTTATCTTAAATCTTATATCTCTTAAACTTAATTCTGTTCAATATTAAATCAGATCATCAAGGCTTCCCTTGGATCTAATTTCTTTTTCTATTTTATAATTTTAATTCTGATCATCAAGGCTTATCCTTGGATCACAAAGAACAATTTTGTTCTCCCCCACCCACATATCAAGTGTCTAACGACCTCAAACGTCGATTCACTACCCAACCTTTTCAATAGACCCAGGACTAATAGAAAATTTTTCAAATACTAACCATTCAAAATAAGCTAAACAGTGAAGAACTTCGGTTATTCATCCTTCACTTGACCCCTCCTCTTATACGAACCAGGATAAATCTTAAACTTAGTAATTTTAATATAGTATCTAACGAACTACTTGCGTTCTAATTATACCTGAACCTTGTGGATCGATTTACTATTCTCCAACCCTTGAACACAATCACTACCCCTAAGTAAGATTAAGTAAGTTAACACCTTAGCTTATACTATTCACGAGAAAGTAAAGTCATTCTCCGGAATCGACACACTTTTCTCTCCAACCCTGAACAAAAAGACCCAGGTTAAGCTAACCAAAAAATCGTAATGACTAACAGTCTAGGAAATTAAAATCACTAAAAACAATTTTGCATCCATCATCCCAAACCTTATGTCATTGAAAAACCTAGGAAACAAACAAACAATCGTAATACACAACTGCGAATTAGACAATCAAAAATACGATCTTGTAATAACCCCACATACACAAACAGTTGAATACATTCACACAAAATGACAGATATTAAAAAGAACAATTTTAAGCAAACAAAGACAGATAACACGAAAAAAATTTTCAAAACATAGAAATGCATTCTCCGAATCAGAAGTCAGTAGTCTAGATGCACTATACAAAATAGAAGATTCAATAAGTAAAAATTATCCAACCCAGGATCCAATATATTTTTCCGATTCAGAAACATCTTCAATCTCATCGAAAAAAGGAAAGAACAGAATAAAAAAGAATCATAAACACAAACCAGTACATTTATACAATTGGAATCAACCAATTAGACATATTAATAAATACATATTAACAGTTGTCAAACGAAAAAATGAGCCACACTCAAAGTGACGAAAGTCCAGACGAAGAAGCAGTTTTTCCCTTTGTTATAAATTCACTAAATGATAGAGGACAGACAGGATTTTGCAAAAATTTACTCGTAAATTTGTTTAACCCAGGAATCAGTCCATGCAAATCAGAATTTCCAGATGTAAAAATCAAAAGACAAGTTATAGAACATTATTTAAAAGGAATATGTAACTTCACACAACAATACGGAATCTACACCATAGAAATCAGTACACCAAGAACACCAGATAGCAAATATGTTATTCAAACAGACGATATTGATTTAGAATTTTCAAATGTATTCACAGAATATATCAAAAGCATACAATATCACAACTCTCAAAGAGCAAACTCGATATTCACCAACGAAGTTTTTGCAATAATATATACTTATTTATCTATATTAGAAAGAACAGAAGCTCAAAGTACATCACCAGTCAATACATCAAAACACACAAAAGTAAGAAACGAAATCGCCGCATTCTCAACATTTTTAAACGCAATTCGTGAAAATTTTACAAATAATGATGTTTCACAAAATACTAAACATGATATACAAAAAATACTAGCATGGTTTATAATTGATTATTTCACACACAATATCGACTTAATTGAACAAGCAAGAAAAAAACTTTAGACCCCAAAGTACAAATGACGACACTGCCATTGCAGATCAATCAGATTACGTTTGGGACCCTGAATGGTCTCATCCAGCCTTTTTAAATTTTCCTGTAGACATCTCAAGTCAGGCAATAGAAACAATATCTCTTCACACAGATTATGTAAGAATAATACCATTAACAATCGATGCAACACCTTTAAATTATAAAACATTTTTACCCGACACACAAAATATTAGCTTGAATTCAACAGTAATACATCATGAAAACCTCATTGGAACTAGAAATCTTACACAACAAGATGTTCAGACACCATCACACTTCATAAATGAAGAAATAGTCCACACAACAGTCACAACTACACAACAAAGTATCTCACCAATACATCCAAATCTTGCAACACCAAAAAATAGAAATACAACATTACCACAAGTAACCTCACAATCAACCGTTAAACCCTCGATTGCTCCTAAGTATTCACATATGGATTACCAGACATATAGACCAATGACAAAACCGTCACGACCACGAAAAACGTTCACAAGAAGCAATTTTGCAGAATATAACTATAATTACACACATTCATCAAAACCAAACCAGCTTCATCGAAAAAATAATAACCACGTATGTTCTAACTATTGGAATCTCCCAAATACATCAACCAATTCAGGAAATTTTCAAAACAATTCACACCCTCCACAAGATCACAGTGAAAATTACCCATTTTTTCAACAAAATAAAAATAAACAACAAACACCTTATTATACGAATTATTTATCATCTGATGATGATGATTATTATCAACCAGATATTTTTGCACCATATACACAAGAATATCGGACACAAAGACCGCGACAATCTCAACCATCCCAAAATATGAAAATTGATCCACAAAACCCAACAGATATACAAAATCACCAACCAATGCATATACAAAATTCAATTAACACTTAATCTTTTCAACCTGTACAATCACAAAACCCAATGACTATGCATTCCTATCAACCAACCCAGATGCAAAATGAAATACCTTTACCATACTACCTACAACAACACGAAATAACAAAAAATCAGCTTACAAACTTCTCACAAATACCAAATGCCGCAGAATCACTACAAATGACGATGAATCCATACCTCATGGAAGGATCGTCAAAAACATCAAATAAACCATTAATGGTATTCACAGGAACAGATCCTGAATACTCAGTAGAAGATTACCTAAACGCAGTCACAGCAAATTTTGTTTTGAATATAGGACCCGAACCAATTAATACACCACTC